ACCACGGCCTCCACCAGACTGAGTCCAGTACAACTAGATGGTGCCTGGCTACCACCACTGACTGCTCTGACAGGGATCACAACAGAGGGTCCCGGACAGAGCTGGAGAAAAACGTAGAACAAAATTCTAATTCACAAAGAAAGACCAGACTTGCTGGCCTGACAGAGACTGGAAAAACCCTGAGAGTATGGCCCCCAGACACCCTTTTAGCTCAGTAATGAAGTCACTCCTGAGGTTCACCCTTCATGCAAAGATTAGACAGCCCCATAAAACAAAATGAGACTAATGGGGCACAACAGTCCAGGGACAAGGACTAGAAGGCAAAAGGGGACAGGAAAGCTGGTAATAGGGAACCCAAGGTCAAGAAGGGAGAGTGTTGAGATGTCCTGGGGTTGTTAACCAACATCATAAAACAATATGTGTACAAACTGTTTAATGAGAAGCTAGTTTGTTCTGTAAACCTTCATCAAAAGTACAATACAAAAAATAAAAAAATGTGGTGTGCATTTTACGCCTGCAGCACATCTCAATTTGGACTAGCCACATTTCAGGGCTCAAGAGCTACATGTCTGCGACTACTGTGTTGGCAGTACAGCTGTAGAACACAGAGGCGACACCAATGTGATTTTTTGTAAGAATCTAGGTCTTTTGGAAAATAAAAATATTACTGGGCAAGTGGTGGTTCCCCCAATGACCTGAGGGGAGAAAAACATTTAGCTACACAATCCTGGATTGTACTCAAGGATACCAGGGCTTTTTATTTTTTGAATCACCACTTATTTCTCAAAGTTTCTTTCTTTCTTTCCTTTTTAAACAACACTTGATTTGGCTTAATTCCAGTTGTTACTATACATCATCTTAGACATGAACTATTTAGCCTTCTGCTTTACTTGGCTTGTCTGCAGGCTACTCTGTCCCCAGGAACCCTGAGGAGCGAAATGTAACTTGTGACACTGCTTCTACTTGACGCTGACGTAAAAATGGCTAACCTCTGACTCTCGAATAATTTGTTAGCCTAAGATTTGGTGTTTATTTTATTCACCTTGGCCACTTCAGACCAACTGAGAGACTTAAGAACAATAAACTTAGGTGGGTTTTCTTTTTTTTGGAGGGGGGATGAGATGAAGTCATGTGTTTCTGAGAAAACTAAACAGCAGATGGAACCTCCAGTGCAGGATTAGTATTTGCCCTGTGTGAGGATTCCACATATCTGCAAATGCCCACAGGTCAAAGGAAGCACCATTCTTGTTTCAACATTCTGTGATGGTTTTCTTCTCAGAATATCAACCATGAAAGTGTACCCAATGTTTTTCCACATTTCCTGCAATGCAGCTTTGTAACAATTTACAAAATAGTATTTGGAATCCCATAGCTCAAAAACATCCATCAGGATTTTTTGTTCATTCACGCATATACAAATGTTTAGACTCTCAAAGTGATTCCACTGGACTCAAATGAAAAATTCGTGGGGACAGTATAACTGTGCCTCATAACTGAGAACAATTATCTACCAAAGACTAAGGGCCAAGCATTGAAAAGAAAAAAGTGTACATTTCAGTTATAGTACCTCATTCTTTCACCATTCATTAAATAAATATTTATAAAGGGCTTCCAGTAAGTAAGTGGGACTTATTATCCACACCACTAACCACCGAATACAAAAGAAAAAGCAAAGCAAAGGAAAACCAAGAAAGAAATCATTCACAAAACTTTCAGCCATTTTCTGTTCACTTCTAGATAGCATGTTGAATAAATGGCTATTATATTTGCTAGATTTTGCAAAAGTAGTCACATCTCATTCTTAATTGGAATTATTCCATTAAGAACAAAAAAGAAAAGGTTTCTGATCCAGATGTAAAGAAATTATGGGAAAAAAGACAAATGGGCCAATCCTATAATCTCATTTATTGGCCACAGATAAACAAACCATGGTTCCTACCCAGTAATTTAGTTTGATCTTGTCAGGAAATTGAGGCTCAATGAAGTGAAATAACTTGTTCAAAATCAAGTAGGTGGCAAAGCCAAGTTTGCTGCCTGCCAATCAAACATTCCTTCTACTCAGCTCATTGTTGCAAATAAATCTGCAGTCCAAATGTTCGGCAAATAGAAGCATTTTTGCTTTTTGTTAAAATTGAATTTCAACTTACAACAGCTAGGAAATTAAGACTGATTATAAAAGATCTTAAAATCTTTAAAATATTATACATGCTAAAGGCTCAATGTGAAGGGTACATTCACCTACAAAATGTCCCATTACATATGTTAACTACACTGCATATGTTAATAAATAAAATCCCAGCTCACAGCGAACCTACGGGACAGAGTAGAACTGCCCTATAGGGTTTCCAAGGCTGTAAATTTTTATAGTGCAGTTATCACTCAAATCTATTTTCTAGGACTACTCTCAAAGGAATCAGTAGGTAAAGAAGAACCACCAAAGACTGTAAAGAATGGAGTATATGATTGGAAATTTAGTTTTCATTAGTCTGAAAAGAGGGTAACAGTGAAAAACTAGAGGTGGGGAGAGCACTTACAAGGCTGTTATGTTAGTCCAGATTATGTGCTGTTAGGTAATTTCCAGCTGTAAATGTTCAGAACAAGGAACAACTCAAGCTAAGTAAATAGTATAAGCAAGGAGAGAGCTCCAAGAGAGCCATTTTTTCCACTTCTGCCTTTTCCGGAGAGTAATTCAGAGGTACAGTAATTCCTGCCCATTAGGTAGAGCACCATGACTCACAAATGTCCATGGCCCTGACATCTTAGAACACAGAAATAGTCCTCATTCAACCAGGACAGGACAACAATAATTCCACTGTTCATTTAGATCGCCTTTATGGTCTGCAAAGTTTTTAAAGGCCGCTGAGAATGGCTATTTGTATTTGGAAGCAAAGTCATCGTCTAGGAAGATTTGGGGTTATTTATGTCACTGATTGATCTGTTCGGTCATTCAACAGAACAATTGGTATGAATCACATAACCCTGGGTGAAGAGCAGATGAGTTGAGCTTAAAAGGGTGGGAGAAGTCACAGTCGTTCAGGGACAAGTCCTGCTTCCCGTATGTCAGCATCTCGTCCTTAGAGATCTGGCATTCTCTAGAACTGGCCACAGAGGGAGCCTAGTAAGAGTTCTACCACATCAGGTTCCCCTTATCTAGGACCTGTTTCAAAGAAGATAAAAACTCTGTAATTGTTGGACAATGACCTTGAAATATCTTCTGTTATCATAAGTGTTTTCAAGTTATGGTCCTTTTGCATAATATGGACCATTTGCTAATGTGCATATTTACCAGTGAAGTTCAGAAAGGTATTGAGAACCAATCAAAACTAAAAGAAATGTATTCACTTTGAAACGTACATGTAACATAAGACACACCTGTAAAGAACACTATAAAAAGTAATGAAAGTAATGGTATTTCTCAGACATTCAGAACTTTGTCTTATAACACAAAGTACTAAAGTCAATCTCCCCAATGCTTTGAAAATGATAGCATTTTATAATGAATCATTTTCAATTCAAGAACTTTCAGTTTAATATTCAGGATACTACTGAGCAAATAGTGGGTACTCAATAATCACTGAATTAAATTCTGTGGTCCATATTACTAAGATAATTCAGGGTAGCCTAGTGAAAATTAGGCAATAGATCTAATGAGATTTAACTTTAAGTCAAACAGATATTTAAAATAATCCTTTTTCTACCCTCGGTCAGTTTTTCAAGAAATGCAGCTTTAGGAGAAACTTTTAAGGGTATCTGGTATAGAAAGGTGGCTGTTTTGACTTCTGAAATAGACATATAGTTCATTCAGACTCTATCTGCACCCCTAAAATATAGTTTTGACATCTTAAATTGACTAACAAAACGGTAATAATATGTATGCTCTGATCATCCTCCCCTGAGTGCTATTTAACTTCCAGCATCTGTAGCTTCAGTTGTTCTTAATGTGTCACAGAAACCCTAACTATATTACCTTTCTCTGCGATTTTGACTATTCTTTCGTCTTTGAAATTCAATCTGTAGACTTAAGACAAATCCCAACTTACACTGACCTACAGCACAAATTCCCTTTAAAGACAAAAAAAAAAAAACCCTACACACAAAACATATATACATACGTAAACACACAAACATGCCTTGATATTTTATTCTACTCTTTGAATAAATCATTTTTAAACTATTCTTTCCAGAAGGAGCAAAATAGATATTTAAAGATAAAATGATGCAATGATGTTATCTCATTTAAACCAATTTCAAAAGAAAAAGTTCAAATAGTCTATAAGTACCTCATATCCACTGAACTTAAATCACTGCTGCCTTAACATGTGTCCCTGTTGTTTATACTTTGCAAGCATACAAAGAAATCATCAATTTTATGTAAAATCAATACAAGCCTTTCATAGCTAGTTACTAACATTTTGAATTTCAATTAAATATACTGCTGCCAAGGTTTAGAAATGTAAATTAAATACTCAGGAGATGCAAGTGAGAATCACTACTAAGATTTTCTAAATGTTTAAGAAACCTCTTAATCTCAACATGTATTTCTAGATTCTCACTGATTCTCCATTAAATCAAATGTCTAAATTATTTCTAAGGTGGTTGTGGTTTGTTTTTGTTTTTTAATAACTAATGCCCAATACAAAAATTTTTACTCCCAATAACTAACTTTACAGCAGCCCATAACTGTTTTTGGTAGATAATATTCAATTTCCCTGGAAACTGTTTTGCTTTAAAACAAAGGACAGGAAATTGTAAACATTCTAGAATATGGTTTAAAAAAAAAAAAAAAAAATACCGTACCAAAGTGTAATTAACTAAAGCTCTTGCCCAAAGATAATATTTTTCTTTCAAAAGAAATCACTGCACAGAAATCCACTTTAGGATATATATACATTTTCCAACTAGGTCTCAGTCATCATCCTGTTATTTTTTTCATAAATGTTTCTGAAACAAATAGACTGGCCCATCCAAGAAAAGCAGGTTGTATCTAAGTGTAGAGAAATCTCTAAGCCTTGAAACACTGAGGCAAGAGTTCTAGTTCCAGAAATGGTGGAACAGCTTGTATCAGACTAACCTTCCTACAGGTAACAATTAGGAACTCAGGGGGTGTGTGGGGGATATTATCCTTAATTCTTCTTAATAATTGATAGTCATCCCTTAATTTGGTTGACCAGTTTATCCATGAGTGAGCCTGAGCACATTTATCCCAGTCCTCCCTCCCCTCTTCTAGGTTATATCCAGAAGAAAAAAATTCTTTCCTGGTAGCTATCTTAGGAAACAGAGCACATCCTTGCTTATATCATAGGATGGAACTAGCTCCACACGGTCGCCTAGCTTCATGTAACCAGGAAATACCTACTCAATAAATGTTTAATTCTCTTCTATTCAACCAAAACATGGATTGTTTTTATTTAGTCACCAAATACAAATACATGAAGAAAAAGCTCATAATGCTATACGCAGACAAGAACAGACAAATCTGCTAATTATTATTCCACTTTGAGAACATAAAGAATTGCTTTATATAATAATGATATACTCATTTAATCCTTACCTTCTTTCAGAGCTTTATCCATATTATGAGAAATTACTACCCTTCTAGACTGAACTGACTCCTGTGAGTTTCCATACACAGGACTCTGAAATGCAAGGAAAAAAAAGATACAAATTTCTAAGTGAAGCAATCATTTATTAAATTAAAACCAAAGATATAAAATACCACCTAAACCACATTAAGATAATGCTTGACAGATTATAAAGCTGTTCTAGAAAAGTAAATAAATGCTTAAGATTAGTGAAAACATTTTTTAAAATTAAGAAAGGGTTTTCTCTACCAGATATCAAAACCGTATGACACCAGTGTAGCAATAAACAAATCGACAGAACAGTACGGAGTACAAAAACAGATGCACATATATATGGAAAGAACATCGTAAAGAAAGAATTTGAAATCAATGAGAAAAACACAGCATTCAATAAATAATGTTGGGATAATTTGATATTTACGTGGGAAAAAAGGTTAGATTCCTACCTCACACTTCACACATAATAACTTCAAATTGATTAAAGGGCTAATTTTTTAAAAACTAAAATAGTATTAAGAGGAAATAAGGGAGAAGCTGTTTACGATCTTGGAATGATGAATGCCTCCCTAAAATAAGATGCAAAATCCAAAAGTTATAAACAAACAAACAAACAAAAAACCTGACAAATGACTATTTAAAACAGAAAACTCCTACATAACGAAAACACTATACAGCAAAATATAAATTATAAACTAGGATACATTATCTGCAACACATGAAACAAAGGACTATTATTTAATACACAAAGAGCTAAGAAAAAAGTAACTCAAAAGAAAACCAAGTAAAAAGATTGAAAAGGCAAATCATAAAAGATACACAGATGACCAATAAATATATTTTTTAAATGCAACCCTATTTTTAATTACAGAAATGCAAATTAAAGGAATGCGACACTATCAGAGAGCTAAAGGGGCTAAAGACTCACATATCCAACACTGGCAAGGATGCAAGGAAATGTCATTTCCATACACTGCTGGGGGAGCATCTATTTCTACAGGCTTTTAAGAAGGTAATGATACAAACGTTGAATAGAGCATTACAACAGAACTGTAGGAGTCCAAATTTAATAAGCTGACTATTAAAAAAAAAAAACCAACAAGTGTCTAGAATATACTATGTTTTATTATTTAAAATCCTTGCCTTAAGGTTTTTGTTCAAAAACTAAAAAGTTGAATATAATTTTAAAAAAAGACAGTACACAATACTGGGGAAGTCAGCACAACTTGACCAAGCAAGGTCACGGATGCTCCATAGACACATTCAAACTCCCTGAGTGACCAAGTTACTGGGCTGAGGGCTGGGGACCATGGTCTTGGGGGACATCTAGCTCCACTGACATAACATAACTGATAAAGAAAATGTTCTACATTCTACTTTGGTGAGTAGCATCTGGGGTCTTAAAAGCTTGTGAACGGCCATCTAAGGTGCTCCACTGGTCTCACCCCATCTGGAGCAAGGGAGAATGAAGAAAATCAAAGACACAAGGGAAAGATTAGTCCAAAGGACTAACGGACCACAACTACCGCAGCCTCCACCAGACTGAGTCCAGCACAACTAGATGGTGGCTACCACCACCAACTGATCTGACAGGGATCACAATAGAGGGTCCCAGACAGAGCTGGAGAAAAATATAGAACAAAATTCTAATTCACAAAGAAAGACCAGACTTACTGGTCTGACAGAGACTGGAGAAACCCCAAGAGTAAGCCCCACCCCCCAAAAAAGAAGGTAACCAAACCACATATATCAAAATTCTAAAATTCTGTCCTTTGATTCAGCAATTTCACTTCTAGGAATCTATATAATAGAAATACACATATTCAAAATAGTGTATGTACAACAAATCTCATTGCCATATTAATTATAAGAGCAAAAAACTGGAAATGACCCAAATGTATATCAATCGTCAAACAATTAAACCAGGGCTTCGAACCGGTTCAAACCAGTTCACAAAAAGTGAAACCAGGAACAGACCTGAATTTTTTACAATTTGGGTGATTTGGAACAATAACCAGAACAAGAAAAATTACAGGGAGAAGTCCTGGAATGGGAGACTTGGAAACGGCGTAGTGAGGCCTTTCAGGAGCCTGATGTGTTAGGCTGGATTATTGTCAGGAGTATGGAGAGCAGACAGGTTGGCCGCCATCTTTGAGCCTGGCACTGCTGTTTCCAACGATGGGCAAGAGATTTGGTTGCTATGCAATGTGTACACTGCCCTTGTTTTCTAAGAGGGAGATTAGGTTTCTAGCAGGGCTTCAACTGTAATTTTTCCTGTTCCAGTTATCATTCCAGTTCACCCAAATTTTAAAAATTTGGCTCTGTTCTGATTTCACTTCCTCGGCCATGACTGAACTAGGAAGAACTGGTTTGAAGCCCTAAATTAAATAAATTATGGTACATTCATGCTTTAGAATATAACACAGTCACTAAAAAAGAATGAGTTGAGAGTTATATATATCTTCATGGAAAGCATCCCATGATGGGAAAATGTTTGGAAGTACATATACTAAACAGTTAAAAGTGATTTCCTCTAGGCTGGAGCAAAGAATTTAAAATTTTTTAATGGTAAAAAGATACTGTTTGGCAAAAAAAAAAAAAAAAGAAGGAGAGAGAGAGACAGAATATGTACAGAACTAAAATCTCACTATCTGGGCTAGTAAGACTACAATAGAGAAAAAAAATTGTTTTTAATTGATCATATACCGAAGTAATCGAAAGTGTGTATCATCTAATTGGGGCCTACATGATTAATTTTGGAGGAAAAAAGAAACTGAATAATATTACAAACTGTAGAGCATTTTTTTGTACATGTGAAAACGACAGTGCCTAACCAGTATTACCAGTCACAGAGGAGATAACTATCTTACTATCACCCTCATCCAACAAACAAGCATGAGGAAATCGCTTTGTTCTCAGGCAGGCTACACCAGCACGGCCACAATCATTCCCCATAGATTGGGACAGCCCAAATGAGTATTTCTAGTCCTTGGCTTAGTTTCGTGCTCTCTGCGGATCAAGTGCCATTTTCATTGCTGTTCATTCTCATTGTTACTAAAAACAAACAAACCAAAAGCCATAGCTTTAAGATTCTTCACTAGGAACGCTTTTAAAATCCTTAAGATATGCATATTACACCCATGAAAGAGAAGACATTCCTTTATACTATCAATTAACATATAACACTCAACACTTTCCCAAGGAATTAAAAAATTTAAATAATTGTAATAATATACAGACAAAAGCCATTTAATGAATAAAAGAAAAAATATACTCAACCATGTAAAACAATTTTCTAGCCTCTGGGTAGCTCTCTATAAAATTAAAAGGACAGCATATTTTATTGTAATTCTTAAAAATTTTATTTAGCTGATTAAGAGGAATTTTAAAATTCTAGTGCTTTTTAAACACCAGGCAGATATTTAAACAATTTATAAATTTTTGACCACTTTTTAACTAAGTTAGATACTTCTAGAGAGCTATACTGATAAATAGGAGCCCCTGGGTAGCACAAACGATTTAGCACTCAGCTGCTAGCTGAAAGAGTGGATTTTCAAGTTTACCCAGAGGCACGTGGGAAGAAAGGCCTGGTGATCTACTTCTGAAAAATCAGCCACTGAAAACCCTGTGGAGCACAGTTCCACTCTGACGCACATGGGACACCATGAGTTGGAACGGACTCTATGGAAACCAGAACTGATAAATAATCACAATCACAACTTTTCAAGGTTTTGGCAAACAACCTGGCTATCGTTTCCCAATTACAGCTATGGTGTTTTGGTGCACAGTATCAGGTGGTGAAACCAAAGCCAAACAACATGTATTTGAGAAATTCCTCAGTTTGGGTTTTTAAAATGGAAACTGTCTTTCAGGGCGGTGGAGAAGCAAGTATGAATGTGAAGGACAACTCACGTGTATCTGACAACACATGTACGTGTAAGCATATTCTCAAACATATTTTTACAACTTCCTTCAGAACTTTAAAATTTTTTTATTCTCACTTTTTTTGTGTCCCCTACTTGTGGTTCTACTACATCTTGCCATGTGTCTGCATATTTTTCTTATCTCTCCATACTTACATATATAAACATCTGTCATTACTGACTGTCCACGAATAAGGCCTTTGTTCTCTCAAGTCAAAAAGCTTATGAGAATGCTTTCTATTTTGGTCTTACTTCAAGCAAAAGTTCTATTATTTTTTCAATCTGATTTTCCAGTTTTGTCCTGGATTCCCACCAATCTTCCTACCCCACCTCCCCACATGGATCATTGGCCCTTATCCCATATCCACAGCCTGATGAGAGTCTGTAAGCAAGGAGAGCCAAAAAACCAAACCAAACCATTGCCGTCAAGTCGATTCTGAGTTACAGCTATCCTACAGGACAGAGTAGAACTGCCCCACAAGGTTTCCAAGGCAGAAATCTTTACAGAAGCAGACTGCCACATCTTTCTCCAAGAAGCGGCTGGTGGGTTCAAACCGCCGACCTTCTGGTTGGCAGCCAAGCACTTTAACCACTGCGCCCAGGGCTCCTCGTAAGGAGAGCAGGGAAGATAAAAAAGAAAACATCATGAGGCAAAAATCACTGGGTGACTATGGATTTAAGGATTTAATATTTACGGAGCCAGAATCTCCCATGTCTAAACTACTACATGAGTATAAGTCGGCCACTACAGACTCTACTTCATTCAAGTCACTAAAGATCAAATGTACTAATCATTATCCCAAAGTAAAATTTCAAAACAGTTAAACAAATGCAAAATGTGAATAAATTCCTGTGACCCAGAGGACAACGAGCAAAAATCACCTTCATTTTCCTTCTGTTTACAGGTTTGAATGAAGAAACTCCACATAAGAGACTTCCCCAAAAGACTTGTAAGGCAAACACTAATTTCCTCTGTCTGCACTGGCACAGGGCTCATTCCTCAGTTACAGCCTACCTCTGCCCACCAAGCCACTTTCTAAAATGCCGGTTTTAGGAAAGATGGAAGAAAAATGTGTGTACTTCTTCCATTATTACAAATGATAAGTGATAGAAATATTTACTACCTAGTCCATA